AAAAAATTTTGGTCAAAAAAATTTTGACCCAAAAAAATTTTGACCCAAAAAAATTTTGACCCAAAAAATTTTGACCTAAAAAATTTTGACCCAAAAAAATTTTGGTCAAAATTTTGGTCAAAAAATTTTGGTCAAAAAAATTTTTGTCAAAAAAATTTTGGTCCAAAAAATTTTGGTCAAAAAAATTTTGACCCAAAAAATTTTGGTCAAAAAAAAATTTTGGTCAAAAAAATTTGACCCAAAAAATTTGACCCAAAAAAATTTTGACCCAAAAAATTTTGACCCAAAAAATTTTGACCTAAAAAAATTTTGACCCAAAAAATTTTGGTCAAAAAAATTTTGGTCAAAAAAATTTTGACCCAAAAAATTTTGGTCAAAAAAATTTTGACACAAAAAAATGTTGGTCAAAAAAATTTTGACCCAAAAAAATTTTGGTCAAAAAAATTTTGGTCAAAAAAATTTTGACCCAAAAAAATTTTGACCCAAAAAAATTTTGACCCAAAAAAATTTTGACCCAAAAAAAAACCAAAAATGTCAAAAATTTTCTTGACCAAAATTTTTTTCATAGCTACGGTTGCAAAGCAACGGTCACCTTGCAACGGTAAATGTAAAAATGTGACTACTGTTCTCCTGATACATCGAAACGATTTTGACGAGATTTTGTATGAAATTGAATATTTTTCGTACTAAAATCATTCAGAACAGTCAAAAAAAATCTTGTTCAAAAAAATTTTGGCCCAAAAAATCTTGGTCAAAAAAATTTTGGTCAAAAAAATATTGGGAAAAAAATTTGGGTGAAAAAAATTTTGAAAAAAAAAATTTTGGTCAAAAAAATTTCGTTCAAAAAAATTTTGGTCAAAAAATTTTGGGAAAAAAATTTTTTGGTCAAAAAATTTTGTGGAAGAAAATTTTGGTTGAAAAACTTTTTAAAAAAAAAAATTTTTTGGAAAAATATTTTTGAAAAAAAAAATTTTTGGAAAAAAATTTTTGAAAAAAAATTTTTTGGAAAAAAATTTTGGTCAAAAAAATTTTTGGTCAAAAAAATTTGGGTCAAGAAAATTTTGAAAAAAAAATTTTTGGGCAAAAAAGTTTCGTTCAAAAAAATTTTGATCGAAAATATTTTGGTCAAAAAAATTTTTGGTCAAAAAAATTTTGGTCAAAAAAGTTTTGGTCAAAAAAATTTGGGTCAAAAAAATTTTTGGTCAAAAAAATTCGGGTCAAAACAATTTTGAAAAAAAATTTTGGTCAAAAAAAATCTGGGAAAAAAATTTTGGTCAAAAAAAATTTGCAAAATAATTTTGGTCAAAAAAAATCTGGGAAAAAACTTTGGTCAAAAAAATTTTGGTTAAAAAAAATTTGCAAAATAATTTTGGTCAAAAAAAATCTGTAAAAAAAATTTTGGTCAAAAAAATTTTGGTAAAAAAAATTTGGGTGACAAAAATTTTGAAAAAAAATTTTTGTCACCCAAAAAATTTCGTTCAAAAAAATTTTGGTCAAAAAAAATTTTGGTCAAAAAAATTTTATGAAAAGTACACGCACATAAAAGAATGTTTTTCCGCAAATTAAAAAAAAAAAAACACGTTTTGAAAATTATGAGTGTTGAAAACATTCCATATTTTTTTTTAAATCAATGTTTTGAAAATTTTGACTTCTACTAAAAATTTCGAAAAAAGAAATAATTATTTATTATTATTATTTAGTTAAAAAAAACACTCAAACGAAAACTATCAATTTATTTTGAAAGTTTTTCATTGACCAAAAAAATTGAAAAAAATCCATTGACAAAAAAAATTTGAAAAAAAAAATTGTTAAAAAAAATTAAAATAAAAATTGATCAAAGCATTGTTTAAAAAAATATTGACAAAATTTTGAAAATTGACCAAAAAAATTTTTTTTTTGAAAAAAAAAAATCATTGAATAACCTGAAAAACAATACATAGAAAAATTTGACCAATTTTGACCAACATTGACCGATATTGGCTAATGGGCAACAAAAGAATTTTGGGAAAGAAATTTTAGAAAAAAAAACTTTTGGAAACAAAATTGTGACAAAAACAAAAAAAACGAAAAGTTTTTACAAAAATATTATATTATACAAAAATCGTTACAATTACTATTAAGTCTATTACCAAGTGAATTAATATTTACTCGCGTAGTCTTTTTCCTTTACTTACAAATATTATTCTAATTTACTAGTTTTTACTAATCGGATTCCGAAGAACTGGATTCTCCGGTTGAACTGTCGTGTCGTCTCTTGATTTTCTTGGATTTCTTGTGCTTGGATTTGGTCTTTTTGTGTTTTTTGTGCTTGGATTTCTTTTTTTTGTGTTTTCGTCGGTCATCGTCGTCTTCGCTTTCACTGTCACTCGATTCTGAAGAAGATGACGAAGATGTTGAAACTGATCTAAAAGATAAAAAAATAATAATATATATAGATATATATATTTTTTTGAAAGAAAATTTTGAAAAATAAAAAATTTTAGAAAAAAAAAATTTACAATATAAAAAAAATTTGGCCAGAAAAAAAAATTGGTCGAAACATTTTTGGTGAAAAAAATTTTGCCCCAAAAAATTTTGGTCAAAAAAAATTTTAGTCAAAAATAATTTGGTCAAAAAATTTTAGTCAAAAAAATTTTGGCCCAAAAAATTTTGGTCAAAAAAGTTTTTGGTCAAAAAAATTTTAGCCAAAAAAATTTTGGACAAAAAAAATTTAGTCAAAAAAATTCTGGTCAAAAAATTTTTGGTCAAACAAATTTAAGTCAAAAAAATTTTGATCAAACAAATTTTGGTCAAACAAATTTTAGTCAAAAAAAATTTTGGTCAAAAAATTTTTAGTGAAAAAATTTTGGGAAAAAAATTTTTGATCAAAAAAATTTTGGTCAAAAAAAATTTAGTCAAAAAAATTTTGGTCAAAACAATTTTGGTCAAAAAATTTTCGGACAAAAAAATTTTCGGACAAAAAAATTTTAGTCAAAAAAATTTTGGTCAAAAAATTTTTGGTCAAAAAAATTTTTTGGTCAAAAAAAATTTGGGTCAAAAAAATTTTTGGTCAAAAAATTTTTAGTGAAAAAATTTTGGGAAAAAAATTTTGGTCAAAAAAATTTTCGAACAAAAAAATTTTGGTCAAAAAAATTTTGGTCAAAAAATTTTTGGTCATAAAAATTTTTTGGTCAAAAAAAATTTGAGTCAAAAAAATTTTTGGTCAAAAAAAATTTGGGTCAAAAAAATTTTTGGTCAAAAAATTTTTGGTCAAAAAATTTATTGAAAAAAAATTTTCGTAAAAAAAAATTTTAGTCAAAAAAATTTTTTGAAAAAAAATTTTCGAACAAAAAAATTTTGGTCAAAAAAATTTTCGGACAAAAAAATTTTAGTCAAAAAAATTTTGGTCAAAAAAATTTTCGGTCAAAAAAAAATTGTCAAAAAAAATTTTAGTCAAAAAAATTTTGGGGAAAAAATTTTTGAACATAAAAATTTTGGTCAAAAAAATTTTGGACAAGAAAATTTTTGGTCAAAAAAATTTTGGACAAGAAAATTTTTGGACAAGAAAATTTTTGGACAAAAAATCTTGGTCAAAAAATTTTGGTCAAAAAAATTTGGTCAAAAAAATTTTGGTCAAAAAAATTTTCGTCAAAAAAATTTCGGAAAAAAAATTTTTTGCTCAAAAAAATTTTGGGAAAAAAGTTTTGGTCAAAAAAATTTTGATCAAAAAATTTTTGGTCAAAAAAATTTTGGTCAAAAAAAATCTGGGTAAAAAATTTTGTTCAAAAAAAATCTGGGAAAAAACTTTGGTCCAAAAAATTTTGATCAAAAAAAATCTGGGAAAAAAATTTTGGTCAAAAAAAATCTGGGAAAAAAATTTTGGTCAAAAAAATATTTCTGGTCAAAAAAAATTGCAAAATAATTTTGGTCAAAAAAAATCTGGGAAAAAACTTTGGTCCAAAAAATTTTGGTAAAAAAAAATCTGGGAAAAAAAATTTTGGTTAAAAAAAATTTTTGGTCAAAAAATTTTTGGTCAAAAAAATTTTGGTCAAAAAAATTTGGGTCAAAAAAAATTTTGGTCAAAAAATTTTTATGAAAATTTGACAAAATTTTGAAAATTGACAAAAAAAAATTTTTTTGAAAAAAAAATCGTTGAATAACCTGAAAAACAATACATAGAAAAATTTGACCACTTTTGACCAACATTGACCGATATTGGCTAATGGGCAACAAAAGAATTTTGGGAAAAAAATTTTAGAAAAAAAAAACTTTTGGTCAAAAAATTTTTGATCAAAAAGTTTGGTCAAAAAATTTAGTCAAAAAAATTTTAGGCAAAAAAATTTTTGGTCAAAAAAATTGTTTGAAAAAACATTTGGTCAAAAAAAATTTCGGACAAAAAAATTTTGGTCAAAAAAATTTTGGTCAAAAAAATTTTGGTCAAAAAAAATTTTTGGTCAAAAAAATTTTGGGGAAAAAATTTTGGTCAAAAAAAATTTTAGTCAAAAAAATTTTTGGTCAAAAAAATTGTTTGAAAAAACATTTGGTCAAAAAAAATTTCGGACAAAAAAATTTTGGTCAAAAAAATTTTGGTCAAAAAAATTTTGGTCAAAAAAATTTTGGTCAAAAAAAATTTTGGTCAAAAAAATTTTGGGGAAAAATTTTTGGTCAAAAAAATTTTAGTCAAAAAAATTTTGGGGAGAAAATTTTCGGACAAAAAAATTTTGGTCAAAAAAAATTTTAGTCAAAAAAATTTTGGGGAAAAAAATTTTGGTCAAAAAAATTTTAGCCGAAAAAATTTTTTAAAAAAAAATTTTAGCCAGAAAAATTTTTTAAAAAAAAATTTCGGACAAAAAAATTTTAGTCAAAAAAATTTTGGGGAAAAATTTTTTTCCCAAAAATTTTTTCTCCAAAGATTTTTTCCAAAAAATTTTGTTCCCCAAAAATTTTTCCCAAAAATTTTTTCTAAACAAATTTCTTCCAAGTTTTTTTCCCCCAAATTTTAATTTACCAAAATTTTTCATAAAATAGTCCATAATAACATTAAAAAAAATTTCAAAAAACAAAATTTTGAAAAAATTCATTAACACAAAAATTTCGAACAAAAATAAAAATCAAAAAAAAATTGGAAAAAATAATGGACAACAGTCACTAAAAATATTTGAAAAAATTCGTCAACAAAAATTTTTTGGAAAATTAATTTGAACAAAAAAAATTTTGCAAAAAAAATCACAAACAAAAATTTTCGAGAAAAGAAATTTAGGAAACAAAAATTTGGAAAAAAATCAAGCCCACAAAAAAATTAAAAAATTCATTAACAAAAAATTTTGAAAAAAAAATTGGAAAAAAATTATGGGTAATGATAATTCATTAATAAAAAAGTAGAAAAAACAATTTTGAAAAAAAATTTGGAAAAAAATCATGTACAATAAGAAATTTAATAGTCCATAAAAAAATTTGGAAAAATTCACTACAAAAAAATGGAAAAATAAATTTCAAACAAAAAAATTGGGGAGAAATCAATTGCGAAAAAAAAAATGGAAAAAGTCATGGACAATTAATTCATAAACAAATTTGAAAAAAATCATCAAAAAAAATTTGAAACAAAAATTTTTAAAAAATCATTAAAAAATAAATATTGAAAAAGAAAATTTAAAAAAAAAATGCAAACAAAAGAATTTAGAAAAAACGAGGACAGAAGTGTATAACAAAAAATTACAAAAAAATCATTTAAGAAATGTGAGAAAAAAAATCGCAAAAAATAAATTTGGGAAAAAAATTTTGGAAATAAAAAATTTTAGAAAAAAAATGAAACAAAATTATGGACAATAGTTCATAACAAATTGAAAAAATCTATTAACCAAAATTTTTTTTAAGAAAATCATGTTTAATAAAAAAAAAATTGAAAAAATTCATTAAAATTTTTTTTTCGAAAAAAAAAATTTTTGAACAAAAATCATTAACAAAAAACATTTTAAAATTATTAATCAAAAATTTTTGAAATTATTAACCAAAAATTTTAGGAAAAAAAATCATGTTTTATAAAAAAATTCGAAAAAATTCATTACATTTTTTTTCGAAAGACAAAATTTTGAACAAAAATCATTAACAAAAAAAAATTTGAAATTATCGTGTTGACAGTTGCAAATACAAAATGTCTACTTGACAGTTCCAAATGCAACATGGACGCTTGACAGCGCTAATTTTAAAATAGTTCAAGTTATAAATAAATGTTCGCGATATATATTTATATTTATTTTGTTTAAATTTACTTAAATATATTATAAGTATTATATATCGTTAGAAAGGTAATAAAATTCTCTACAAATCTGTATATAACGTTTAAAAACTTCACGAACAAAATTAATCAGGAAAAATACGTAAACTTTAAAGTTCAGTTAGCCTTCGAATACATTTTTTATATTAACTTTTATATTACCAAAATTTGTTGGGCAACATATATAATATTATATATCATTAGAAAGCTAATTAAATTCTCTACAAATCTGTTAAATTTTCTACAAAATATGAAAAACATCTAGTATCTTAAATTTAATTACCTCTTCCTGTCGCTCCTCTTTTTGCTCTTCTTTCTTTTTTTCTCCTTTTCCAATTTCCTCGCTTTATATTTCTCTTTCAGTTTCTCTCGAAGTTCTTTCTCTCTCAAATCGGTCAACGGTGTTACATAATTTTGATCGGAGTCACTGCTCGTACTACTCACATCGAGAATGATGTCTTTATTAGGATCAACCTATTATGGAAATGAATTATGTATAAATATAAAGATATATATATATATATATATATATATATATATATATATATATATATAAAGATTTATATATGAACAATATACACTTTATTTATACGTTTATTCTAAGCTTTAATTATGAGTTTTAAAATTTATTTATTGCATTAAAAATGTAAATATAGTTTTATTGCAAATAAACTAAGTCGAAGGTGGTTCCTTTCGCTTTGATGACAATGTGAAATTTGTACACACAAATATATAATTTTAACCCATAAAAATCATTCGAAAAACTGCATATTTATTATTTATTAGTCTATTTATCTATTAATTACTTACTCTTAAGAAATTTCGGCACTGAAACGTCAAATGTCCAGCATAATCACACTTTTTGCAAGCTGCTCGATTTGTTTCTCGATTTTGCGGAGTTATAAGACGAGCTATAAAAGCAGGATCGGTCGACATTTTCTAACACAATTTATAATATTAATTTAATATTTATGCACAACTGGGAACTGCAGAAACAATAATAATTAATAAATATTTGTTGTAAACAAGTGCGGAGTAAATGTAAAAGTGACAGATTCAGCTGTCAAAGATGGACGCTTCGATGACTCTTGTATAGTGTGAAGTTAGTGAAATTAGAGTGCGCGAAATTCAAATATTGAATTCAAATTTTGGGTAAACACTTGATTAATGCAATTTATGTTATTAATTTAATAATAATTCACTATTTGATACTGTAATAATATTAATAAGAAATATTCGTTGTATAAAACTAAGTGAAATAAATGTGAGAAATATAAAGTGACAGTTCGAGCTGTCAAAGATGGACGCTTCGATATTACTTGTGTAGAGTGAAGTTAGTAGAATTGTAAGTGCGCAAAATTCAAATATTGAATTCAATTTTTGTGTAAACGCTTTATTAATGCAATTTATGTTATTAATTTAATATTTATTCGCTATTTGAAATTGTAATAATATTATTAAGAAAATATTCGTTGTATAAAACTAAGTGAAATAAATGTGTGAAATATAAAGTGACAGTTGGAGCTGTCAAAGATGGCCGCTTCGACAAAATTTGTGTCGACACTAGTGTGAAGTTACTCAAAATATAAAAGTCCGCTAAATTTAAATGTCAAATTTTGTCCAAATATCCATTTTTCAAATATAATATAAAAAAGGTGTGTAAATGCTGAAAAATAACCTAATATCATTATTATTAGTAATCATCATAATTTAATTATAATATTCTACGACTTAGTGTTATATTTCACATGAATTTGTTCATTTTTTGATTATAATTGTAATTGGATTAACAAATAAATTATATATGTATGACTTAAGTAAGTAAATATTTATTTATAACTGTTGTAAGTTATCTGAAAATGTTGCAAATAAAAAATTCCAGCTGCATCATAATATAATAATAGTCAATTTTTTTATTTTCAATAAAAAAGTTCACAATCGTATTGCACTACATTCATATAAAAAACGATTTTCAGTTTTTACAACATAATTAATGATATTTTTGATATATAAGTATAAAAGGCACTTTTGTTACAGATCAATATAAAACTTAATGACTAATTACTAAATATTTAATTAATTAGTAGAGTCCTGATAAAACTATGATGATATAATAAAAATCTACCCAATAATTGTCAAATCTTAAAAAAAAAATCATTGGTATTATACAAAAACTTTAGAATATACGAATTTAAATTGACTTATTTGAAATCTCTGTCGCCTGATGTTACATAAAATGATTAAACAATATATTATGCGTACAACTTTGCTTCCGCCGTATTTTCAATACGACTTCTCTACAATAACGGCGGAAGCAAAGTTGTACACTAAGTATGTTTTCAAATGCATTTTAGAGTATACCGAGTTGCTGTAGGTCATCATAATGTTAGACAATATTTTAGCTTATTTAATTTAGCACAAATTTGCCGAAGTCACCATTCATATTAAACAAATAGTTTAGAAGTTACAAGCGACGAAACAAAAATCTGCACCAAGTATATTACATTCCAAACCAAGATATCGACGTACTTTGCATGAAAAAAATCTTTGACAAATCGTTTTTTGTATGGAAACTAGTATACTTGTACACTCTGATAATTTCTTGCGTTTCAAAAGCTATTTTAAAGTATACCGAGTTGCTGTAGGTCATCATAATGTTAGACAATATTATAGATTGGTTAATTTTAAACAAATTTGCCGAATATTGCATTCAGTTTGGACGAACCGTTCAAAAGTTACACGAGTTACAAGATAAAAACGTAGAATATAAACCGCGTACTATATATAGTACAGCCGGTCAAATGCGAGTCAAAAAGTTTTACTTCAAATATAGGCATGTGGGATATCAAATGAAAGGACTCGACGAACACTATCCAAATATCATTGTAACATACTCAAGAAACCGACAGGATTCCGAATACTGCACATTTAGTTAATACGTAATGTGTTTTTTTGTCATTTAAACTATACCGAGTTGCTGTAGAGTGAAACTGTGTTAGGGCATATTGTAGATAATTTAATTTAACACAATTTTGCCGAATATTGCATTCAAGTTGGACCTACGGTTCAAAAGTTACAAGAGGTATTGTAAAAAGTAAACCAATGGGTTGCAGAAATCGGAATCAAATATGAGTTCAGAAGTTTTACTTCAAATATAGGCATGTGAGGTATCAAATGAAAGGTCTCGACGAGCACTACCATACGCATACCAGTGACGAAACTGACTGACAGGGTTTCGTATAATTACACATATCCAGTATTCAACACTAATTTTCTGGTTTCTGTTGCAATTTTAAAGTATACCGAGTTGATTTAAAGATTGATATTAAGTACAAGCATAGATAATTTAATTTAGAACATTTTTGTAGAATGTTTCATTTGCGTCAAACGATTTGTTCAAAAGTTACAAACAATTCAATAAATAAATTCACGGGAATGAGTTGTACTATAAATAGTACAGCGGGTCAAATGCGAGTCAAAAAGTTTTACTTCAAATATAGGCATGTGGGGTATCAAATGGAAGGTCTCGACGAGCACTATTCAAATATCATATAGATATACGGACTCTACTAACTATATATATGGCATCACCATGAACACATTTAACTAAATCTACTATTTGGCATTGTCATGGCTTTTTTGTGAACTGACGTCACAATAATTTGACTAAATTTAATTAACAGTAATAATAATCAATTGGCAATAAAAATTTGGCACATAAACCCATATAGGGGTTAATTAAAAAAATCACAAATGCACAACATTAATAAAAATTGTTCCAGTCAATTGATATAAATCTTTATATATATATATATATATATATATATATATATATATATATATATATGTATATATATAAATATATATATACAAATATATATTATATTTTATATAGATATGTAATAATATTTAATTATTTACCCAATTATTAGAGATTATGTAATACAGATATGTATCGTCGTCAGTAGACTTCGTCACAAATCGTCCTTAACACCAGGATCGCTTATAAACTTGTTCTGGTTGTCTTCGTTTATATTATTATTCAAAATCAGATTATCAGGAATTATGTTCGAGTCTTCGGTATCCGAGAAATAACCCGGTTCGCCCGTGTAGTGCGTCGGGTACACCAGTAGAGGCGCTGTCGACAGGGCTATAAGGTCTCTATCGGGAAAATGGGTTTTCCAGGCATCTCTAGATAGATAATAGATATAATTTATTAAAATAATCCATTATTGATTTATAATAATTCATAATTTTTGCATATCTTCACGTTTCAAATGTTTCTGAATATTTTCACATACCTTAGAAAAAATGGATGTATGTGTGTGCGCGTGTGTGTAGAGTAGAACTTTACTAGATTATATTGTAGATAATTTAATTTAGCACAATTTTGCAGAATATTTCGTTCAATTTGGACCAACGGTTCAAAAGTTACAAGAGATTTTGTGAAAAGTAAACCAATGGGTTGCAGAACTCGAGGTCAAATGTGAGTTTACAAGTTTTACTTCAAATATAGGCATGTGGGGTATCAAATGAAAGGTCTTGGCGAGTACTTTTGCAAAATGATGCTTAAAATTACTTTTCTTATCATTTTTGATATTTTAATTTTGGTCGCCAGTAGAGTCCTTTTTTCGTAAATGTTTTTACTTTTCTCGTCAGTAGAGTCCTTTTTATTTCATAATTTTAATTCGTTCGTCAGTAAAGTCCTTTTTCTCATAGTTCGATAGAGTTCCTTTTAGTATTTTTTAAATTGCAGTAGAGTTCCTTTTCAATGTTCTAAATTGATATTTATTTTGCTCATCAGTAGAGTCCCTTTTTTATAAATAAATCTCAAAAAATCTAAATATGCACGTCAGTAGAGTCCTTTCCTATAATTAATTTCTAAGATTAATTGCACGTCAGAATTATACATTGAAAAAAAAGAACTCTACTGACGAGTAAATTAATAAAAAAATGTAAAAAATGATCTAATCATTTTTAAATAAATCGAGAAAAAAATGCGAAAGAAACTCTACTGACAAATAAATTAAAAAAAAAAGTAAAAGGGACCTTACTGACTAGCAAAACTAAAATCGTTTTGAAAACTTAAAAAGGGACTCTACTAGTAGAGAAAAAAGAGACTAGTTCCGAGCAAATTAAAAATATGTAAAGAAAGGGACTCTATTTACGAGCAAAATAAATATCAATTTATCAAAAATATAAATCTACAAGACACATAAAGGACTCTACTGACGAGCAAATTAAAATATAAATGTAGAAAACAAAAAAGGACTCTGGTTTTCGCAAATTATTTATAAAAAAAAGACTCTACTGAGGAACTAACTGAAAAGATAAAAAAGGGACTTTACTGACGAGCAAATTGCGATTTCTTTAGAATTATTTAACAAAAAAAAGAACTCTACTGACTGTCAATTGTCAAACGTCAATCTAGAAGACACAAAAAGGACTCTACTGACGAGCAAATTAGGAGTTTTCAAAAATTATTTATAAAAAAGGACTCTACTGACAAGCAAACTAAAAATAGAGAGTAAACAAGACTCTACAGACAAACAAATTATACATATATATATTTCATTTTCTCTCTTACCTCGGGTGTTTATCAAACAAAATAGGTAAATACTCATCGACAGGCACCATATTTTTCAAAGGCTCAGCCTTTAACAGTTTTTGAATTCCTGATTTTGTTAAAATGTACCCTAAAGTCCAATAAGAATAACTTGGCTTTACTAAAAGCCTCGAATTTTCAATGTAAGGCTCTTCGTTTTCCAATAAACGTTTTCTTCCAATATAACTAGAAAGGAAATAAATAAATATACAAAATAAATAACAATATTTAATTATAAAATATTTAGAAAAAAAATTCTTAACATATTTCAAAACATTCAAAATGTTTTGTTAATAAAATGTTCAAAAACCCTTATCAGTCTATGTTTTAAGGTGTCAAGGACGCCCTTAGAACTTTCGTATATGGATCGAGCACGCGGCGTGCTAAGGATTTTGTGTGACATTTCACAGTTAAGTCTATGCTGTTCGGTCGAGGCGTGGGATTCGAACGTGCAGGATAGACTTTTTGCGGATTAATTTTTACTTCAATTTATGCAATATACATTTGCGATATTTCAAAAGTGGTTGAAGCGGTTTTAACCGTTTAAACTTTGTTTTTTATTTACAATATTTATTACAACTGTTAAATAATTTAACATCTAGTAATAATAATGAACAATAACATGAATTTGAATAAAAAAGAGTACAAAATAAAGGATAGAATTTACATTAAAATGATATCCGTAGTATGATAATTTAATATAAAATAAAAGCAAATAATAATAATAATAAAATTAATAAATGAAATAAATAAAATTTCTAAAAAATAATAAAAATAATACTAGAAAACCAATAAAGTGGAATAAAAACAATAAGTGACATGATAATAACAAAAGTTTAAAATGCGTTCGATTTGTTTATTAATTTCAATATAGTATATTATTATGAAAGGTTTCATATTTTAAGTACGAAACACGAATATATTACAATTAATATATATATATATATATATATATATATATATATATATATAATATATTTACTTACAGTAAATCATATTCAACATTGTTCTGTTGAATTTCTCTCAAAATCGCTTGGAGTTTTTGTCTGAAAAAAGGTTCGAATCTGACATCGTCTTCTAGGATCATTATTAGATTGTAGTCCATAGATGACGCCTGTGAAATATAACAATTATTTAAAAATAGAACACAATTTGACTAGTTCTAAGTGGCATTTTGCCTTGAGGCTAGTTGCATAAACTTTACTTGGATATGTAAATAATCGACATAAACAATAAGAATTAAAATGTAGCTACTTAAATATAATTTTTAGCTTTATTTTTTTATAAATAAAAGAAATATGTACCAATTATTTAAAAGTTTATGTCGTTGAATTTATTTTCTTATAAATATATTTTTAAATAATAAAGATTGAAAGATTTGAAAATCTTGAATTTTGACACCAAGAATTTTAAGTAAGTTATTTTTTGCGAAATTAAAATTTTTTGAAAAAAAAATCATTTTGTATGTATAGATTTCTAAAGTTTTTGCTTTGCTCTTCCGCACTTTTTATTTCTCTAATTAAACATGTTATATTTTATATATATATATATATATATATATATATATATATATATATAAAGGATTCATTTAAAGAGTATATAATATACAATATTGTGAGAATTCTGTAACTTAAGTATGTTACAAAGATGTTTGAATAGTGCTCGTCGAGACCTTTTATTTGGTACCCCACATGCCTATATTTAAAGTAAAACTTCTGAACTCATACTGGACCGCAAGTTCTGCAACCCATTGGTCTACTTTAAAATCTCTTGTAACTTTTGAACCGTTCGTCCAAATTGAACGAAATATTCGGCAAAATTGTGCTAAATTGAATTATCTACAATATGATCTAGTAAATTTTCACTCGACATCAACTTGGTATACTTAAAATGACAAAAATATAGATTGCGTATTATATAAATGTGGTGTCTATTGGTTTGTTGAGTATGTTACAATGAAATTTGAATAGTGCTCGTCGAGACCTTTCATTTGATGCCCCACATGCCGATATTTGAAGTGAAACTTTTTAACTCGCATTTGACCCGCTGTACTATACATAGTACGAAGTTTATATTCAACACGTTTTTATCTTGTAACTCGTGTAACTTTTGAACCGTTCGTCCAAATTGAACGAAATATTCGGCAAATTTGTGCTAAATTAAATTATCTACAATATGTTTTAATATTATATCAGGCTAAAGCAACTCGGTATACTTTAAAATAGCATTAGTATGAAAGGTATCAACTTTAAAAAAAGCCCAGACCAATTGCATAAGTCTATTATCGAAATAAATGTTTTTCCAAGCGTAAATATATCATATAATTTGTCGGAACAAAGCGACAAACGATTCAATTAAACCAAACGAAATTTCGTCGAATTATTAAACCGAATTAACTTCGTTATGAGAATTTGTACAAATTCGCACAAATTTGCGAATGTGCGTTTGGTGTTGCAAAATAACAATTAACGCACGAATAACTTTCAATGGTAATAATTATTGGAAATTATTAATCATAATCGAAGAGAACAAATAGACAAAATAAAATATAATATAAATTATTAGAAACTATTTAGAAAACCATGTCGCCTTAGATATTCTTTGTATATATATATATATATATATATATATATATATAAAATGATATATATGATATATAATGATAAAGAATTTTATACTTTAATAAAATAATAATTAATATTTTTTCATCATTTGTCGAATGAAATATTTTACACCAGAAAATGTAGCACTAAGCGATTTTCTAGACTCTTGCCAAAAATCTGTTATATATATATATATATATATATATATATATATATGTACATATATAGATTTATGAATGCTAGAAGTTGCCAAAACAGCAATTTCGCTGTTTTTGGTGAAGAAGTTCTGAAGAGCAATGTATATACTGAAATGGCATACATATATTTTATATATGGCCCATAAATACTCCATAAATATACATTTATACACGTATATATATATATATATATATATATATACATATTTGTGTTGTGTTAGGTAGAGCAAATCCAAATAAAAATTATGTCAAATTAAGAAAATTTATATTTCTCTAACTACTTCTTTGTCGGAGTCACCAAATTTGAATAATTTATATGCCTATTATACAAATAAATAAACATTCTAAATATTATTGAATAAATACCTCTCAGTGCCATAACTCATTTTGTTTTCAAAAACATCATAAAATAAATTTCAATTGGTTTATTACAAAAACTATTTAAATCGCATTTTATTCTTTGATTTAAGTTTAATTTTCATTTTTTCTACTATAATTTCTATCAATTTTTATATTTATTATATATGTTACTATGTTTAAATATTTGAATTCAAACGGTTATACAATTGTAGAAACTTCACACTCGAGTGAATTAAAACTGTCAACTGTTTTAAATAGAGTCAAAATTCAAATTCAAACATTGTGCTCAAAGTGAAATATAAATATCTATTAATTATTGTAACAGAATTAGTAATAAATATGAATCTTTATAATAAATAAACTGTAGTGCAGTCTTACAATATTCTTTTATATGTCGTTTAGAAGAAATTGTGTGTTTTTAATAAATCTCAATATTATGATAATATAATAAGAAGTTACGAGATTTCAATATTTGAATTCAAACGGTTATACAATTGTGCAAACTTCACCCTAGAGTCCATTAAAACTGTCAAGTGTTTTAAATGCAGTCAAAATGTAAAGGTAACATTGTGCTCAAAGTAAAATATAAATTTGTTAACTATTTTGTTATTGATGTGAACGTTACTAACAAAATGAAATATGAATAAATCGAAACAAATTTCAATAATTAAAAGCGTAATAAATACATATCATATTAATTGTATATAAATTAATAATATAAATAATTATAAATATGTTTATAAAATAAATAGAAAAAGTTTAAGATAATAATAAAAGCATATTAGGTATATGTTTAAGATAGTATTATTTTTACTTTTTGAATTGTAATAAACCAATTATATTAATATTTTACTAATTTTCTTTGCAACAGTGACATAAATTAAATATCAATTGAAATAAAATGTTTATCAGATAAGAAAATAAAGAAGAAACAAAATAATATGCTATCATATTCATTAAGAATTATATAATTCATTTTTAACTTCCCGAATCATCTTATGTTTTCATAAAAAAATCCGACTCGCTAATTACATGTTTTCTCGACGTTTCAAGCCATTGTATATAAATTGTATGTAAATAAATATATTATACGTTGATAACATGTAAGTCTTAAAATATCAAAATTTGAATTCAAACGGTTACATTCAACTTCACACTTGAGTGAATTAAAACTGTCAAAGACGCTATTGTAACATAATGATAAATGCAGTTAAAATGGAACACATTGTGCACGATTAAATTTTAACTCTGACAATTACTGATCTGGTATATATATATATATATATATATATATATATATATATATCTAAAATCACGAATGCAATTGACAGATATCCCAGTTTTATTAATTGAATATACGCAGTCCACAAATTCTCCACCATTGTTTCGACAAAAACAAAAACAGAACACAAATCAAGGTCTTTAGTGCGAGTCCAACTCGTTTTCTGTATCACTTAATTAATTTTATATGACGTCATGTTGAAATGAATTAAAAACGATTTACATACAAAGAAAAAAAGTTGCATGTCTCCACCGTGTTTAACAAATTTGCAGTGTCACCAATTTTACTTCAACACGAAAAATTTAATTAATTAAAAAGTAGAAAGATGAATAAATGAAAAATAAAGAACTCGACTGACGTATAAATAATAAGGAACGAAAGATTTTTCTTTTTTGCCATTGAAACTAAATTTCGAAGTACGGATAAAAAGAAATTTTACTAACTAGTTAGTTTAGCTAACTAAATTAATACACCATAAATAACAAACTAATTGAGGGGAAAAAGGGACTCTACTGACAAGCAAACTGTAAAAAAGAACCAAAGACTTTATTGATGATCAATACATATCTTTTACTTGTTTTTAGTGATTTCATTTTTATTTTATCTTTAAATTTGGAAAAGGGATTCTACTGACGAGCAAACTCAAAAATACAAATTGGACTCGGACGAAAGGGACTCTACTAACAAGCGAAACTTATTTTTTTATTAAAAAAACCTTGCAGTTTAATTTTATCGAACATAAAAAAGACTCTACTGACGAGCAAATAATAAGAAGAATAAAAGAAACTACTGACAATTATCTTCCGTTTCGACAAAACTCGTTTTTGATTTTTCCTTAATCTCAAGTCTAATAGCCAAGGGACTCTACTGACAAGCAAAATAAAAAAGATTGAAAGAGACTCTACTGACGAACAAATTAAAAACAGATTGAGAAGGAACTGTACTGACGAGCAAACAAAAAAACAGATTAAAAAAGAACTCTACTGACGAGCAATATAAAAGAAGAAAAAAGAACTCTACAGACGAGCAATATAAAAGAAGAAAAAAGAGACTCTACTGACGAATAAAAAAAGAGACTCTACTGACGAATAAAAAAAAGAAATTGAAAAGTACTCTACTGACTAGCAATATAAAAGAAGAAAAAACGGACTCTACTGACGAGCAAATTGAAAACAGATGTAAAAAGAACTCTACTGATGAGCAATATAAAAGGAGAAAAAGGGACTCTACTGACGAGCAAATAAAAATAACAGATCAAAAAAGAAATCTACTGACAAGCAATATAAAAGAAATTAAAAAGGGACTCTACTGACGAGCTAAATAAAAAGACATTGAAAAGAACTCTACTGACGAGCAAAATAAAATAAAATTAAAAAGGGACTCTACTGACGAGCAAATTAAAAACAGATTAGAAAAGTACTCTACTGATGAGCAAATTAAAAAAAAATTGAAAAGGGCTCTACTGACTAGCAAAATAAAAACAGACAAAAAAAGAACTCTACTGACGAGCAAATAAAAAACAGATTGAAAAAGAACTCTACTGACGAGCAAATTAAAAACGGATTGAAAACAACTCTACTGACAAGCAAACTTGCAAAGAAAATTGCAAAACAAACTCAACTGCGTAGAATATTCAATAAATAGTAAATTAATAAAAAATAAACTACTGAAA